CTTCAAAGTAAATGAAATACTTGGGAATATACCTAACAAAGGAGGTGAAGGACCTCTATAAAGAAAATTATTAAACTCTAAGAAAGGAAATAGCAGAGGACATTAACAAATGGAAGAACATATACCATGCTCATGGCTGAGGATTTGAGGATATGTATTGCTTCATGCCTTAAATTTAAGTCCTTTATCCATCTTGAATCTATTTTGTGAGTAACAAATGGAAGAGCATACCATGTTCATGGCTGAGAAGAATCAACATTGTTAAAATGTCTATACTTCCCAAAGTAATCTACTGATTCAATGCCATCCCATTAAAATACCAACATTGTACTTTGAAGACTTGGAAAAAATGATTTGGCGTTTTGTATGGAAGCAGAAAAAATCCTGTATAGCTAATGCAGTTCTTCATAATAAAAACAAAGCTGGGGGCATCGGCATACCAGATTTCAGGCTGTACTACAAGGCCATAGTGGTGGTATAGTGCCAGACAGCATGGTACCGGCACAAAAACAGAGATAGACATTTGAAAATGAATAGAAAACGAGGAAATGAAACTAACATCTTACAATCACCTAATCTTCGACCAAACAAGAACATACCTTGGGGGAAAGACTCCCTATTCAATAGATGGTGCTGGGAGAACTGGATATCCACATGTAAAAGACTGAAACTGGACACTCACCTTTCTCCATTCTCAAAAATTGATTCAAGATGGATAAAGGACTTAAATTTAAGGCATGAAACAATAAAAATCCTCAAAGAAAGCAGAGGAAAAACACTGGAAGGTATCGGCTGAGGGAAAGACTTCATGAAGAAGACTGCCTTGGCAATTGCAACAACAAAAATAAACAAATGGGACTTAATTAAAGTGAAAAGCTTCTGTACAGCTAAGGAGACAACATAATTAAAGTGAAAAGCTTCTGTACAGCTAAGGAGACAACAACCAAAGCAAACAGACAACCCACACTATGGGAAAGGATATTTGCATATTTTGAATCAGACCAAAGCTTGATAACTAGGATCTATAGAGAACTCAAATTAATCTACATGAAAAAAAGCCAACAATCCCATGTATCAATGGGCAAGAGACATGAAATCTTCTCTAAAGAAGACAGACAAATGGCTAA